ATATATATATATACAAGTGATCACTACAACATTATTGAATATAAGGGTCTGAATTGAAAATTCCCTTACAATGGAACATCTTGAGGATACACACCATCAATTTTTCCTCAGCATTGAGCAGTCCTTTGGAAGGTTTTCTGCTAGATTACTCAAGGATTGGATAACAACACACAGAAAGAGTTTACAAACTAGACTTGATACCCTAAGGTGTATTATGAATGTCGACGAACACTATGTGCAATATCTACTATATTTTTAATCAATAAGACGCCTGATGAAGGTATCAAACAGCCACCAAAACGTTGCGCATATTTAATTATCAAAATTGTTGACTTGTATTATTGACTACCACTGCAAAAATAATGAGTGTAATAGTTTGGTTTCTGACTTATTACAGTATCGTAATGAAAGTTCAGCAAGAATATAGTGGCTGGGGTATAAATACTTGGCTTGTTTAGAAAAAATTGTAATGTTGTTTAATGGAAAACATTTTCTGAGATAAAGACATTCTAATATTAAACGGTAGCAATCGCTGTATTGGCTGAAATTTTTTTGACAGTTCCTGAAAAAAGTTGACGTTTGAAAATTACAGATATTAATATTTTAAAAAGTTATTTGTTATCAAAAAAATCTTCCCCAAATCGATGGAGATCTAGGCACAGGATATAATTATTCAAAATACAGTCACAAAAGTTCTCAACCTCCGGGTTGTCAGGCATAATACTTTTTAAATCATCAGTAAAGCAGTCGCTTACATGGTTATGACATAAAAAAGGCAGTCCAAAAAAACATTTAAGAAAATTTAAAGTACATTTCAAGTCTAAAACCTAGATAAAGTGTGCTGAAAAAATTGTTATGACTCATCGGCTTAATGACTGGGACAGAGCTCGACCATTAGATAAAATAAATGAAGACGCAACTCAACCATGAGATAAAATTGCCGAGACCTAACTCGAACCTCTTTTTCTACATGGGACACAATTTAACGTTTGCCAAATCTCGTACGACGGAAAGAGAAACTCTTCATTCTAAATAGACAAGTGCATAATACAGCGTAAGCGCCTCGAAGCGCCTTATATGTGCATTAACGAGTAAATATTTTTTTACGTATCAAAACACATACTCGCTTTTTATTTCAGCATAAACATAATTAAAATTGGATTCTACACAATACTTTTCCTCTCTTATTAAAGAAACATATTAAATATCAGTAAAAGCCCTGTATTGTAATTTTATAAGCACGTCAACTATAGATAAGAGCTTAAAAAATACATGCACTGTTTTATTTTACATTAAAAGTTAGAACATACAACTCTCAACTAGTTGAAAGTTTTTGATTGTAAAAAGAACTGCTGAAAAGGGCTGCAGTTGTTAAGATGATTAGAGCGAGGAAGCAGTCGTTCCCAACGATACTCCTACACCCTTAATCGAGAATGCGACTTTACCAATAGTAAATCCTAAATTTGATATATTGTGTTACGGAGGGGTTTCTGACAAAGGACGGTAGTTTTTTTCTGCTTCCTCTTCTTTAAGCGTCTTGTACTTTCTAGTTGGTATTAGCGTACAGTATCGTTGCATCTGTTGTATTCTGAAGTTCCCAACTTTGACTCGTGCGAACTAGCGCCGGTAGTTGTTTTTTTTTTCTTTTTTTTTTGTGCAATAAAAGAAACAAAACCAAGATGAACCGTGCTGCAGTCTTTTCACCAGCCGACTTTCCCCGACGACTGGCGTTTTACCAATTGCGCCAAAAACTCGGGGTACGAGGGTGCGAGCCCTTTAACTTTACTGGTGACGACAGTCACCTCTCCTTTACCATTAAACCATCCAATGTGAAGGAGGTGGTGTACACCTGTAGGAGGTGCAGGAAGGTAAGTGAAGTGTGTAGTTTCCCTCGGTATGCGCGAGTGTTGTGATTGTGCCTTTGTGTTGTCGTTTTATCTGGCAGATCTTAATATTTGTTTCCTTTTCTCCTTTTATTTTGATTGCCTCACGCTCGATAGATTATCATTTTCAACAAAACTCTAGGCATTTTATTATTAGTATGTGCGAATGTATGCTTTCTAAAGTAAGTTATCTTCTTTTTTTCCTTTTGTTCTCTTTCTTTCTACATATGTAAATATATATATCAGATACTGTTATAAATGACAAACTCTTGTATAAGGTTGACATACATCACATGACTTTTTTTGTTTCCTTTTTTTTTGTTGTCGTGATTTGTCAATTATGCAGCCAAGTTTTATTTTAAAAAGTTCATTTATGTTTCATAGTATCTAAAATAAAAACTTGCTCATCTCATTCGTATCGAATTATTTCCTAACGCGACTGCATTCGATTTTCACAGTTTTTACAACAGTTCTATATAATTTTATAAAAACACCTCCAAGTTATTGTTTGGTTGTTTTTCTTTCTTTTTTTTTTTTTGCTTCTTTTGCAGCACACTACTTATAGTTTCCACACGCATGCATATGCTGACGCGGGTTTGGGCACTACCATGGGTGGCGAACCGAAGATCGGCATGTTGATGCCCACGGCCAGGGAGGCCATATTCAAGCTCACATGCCCCTTTTGTCATTGAGTGTCTGCTCTTTTACGTATGTATTCGTTTTCTTTTGTTTTGTGTGAACCTTTTTTTTCTACTATAACCGCTCACGCCTTTATTCCAGTTCGGATTCCGGCGCGTCGTTGACGTATGGCGAGGGTGCTTATTGGCACTCCCACGCCAGTTTGACAGGACCTTACTTCGCCTGATTGCTATCGATTTCCAGGGTGGCTCTGTGGTTTACGTGGGGAGCTGCCCAGGAGGAAGGCTGTTTGCACTACCTAGTTGTGCGCACACCTGGAGACGGGCCACTAAACGCTAAAAAGCGCAAGCCACGGGCGTTGACCAGCATAAAAATGTATTTTATACGTCATGATTTTAATTTGTTTCTGGTAACGAGCAATACAACACCATGAAGCATTAAGTGTTGGATATTATGTAAAGTGCAGTTTTGATAACATGAAATCACGATACATTTTCTACAGTAAAAAAAACTGAAAGCAGTGAAAATCCAGCTACCTGGTTTGTGAAAGAAATGCAAGATCTTGCCTTAGATTTACATAGAATGTACAACAATCCAGTGCCAATGAGATCATTAACTGAAGAAGAGGACTTTAATTTTTTCAATGCTGATATATGTCACATATGTGAGAAGTCTATTAAAAATGATGAAAAAGTTTACGATCATTGCCATTTTACTGGAGAGTAAGTATTATATTTATGAGTTTGTAATTGAGAAAATTTTTCCCTTTAAACTCAAATTCGCTTTTTTTTACTCAGATATCGAGGCCCAGCTCACAATGTATGTAATTTTAAGTATCAGGACTCGCGAGCAGTACCAATAGTTTTCCATAATCTCAGCAATTATGATGCCCACTTATTTATACGAGAACTTGTAACTTGCTTTCCCGGAAGAGTACAAGTTATCCCTCAAACTAAAGAAAAATACATTTCTTTTACGAAGTACGTTATAGGGACACGCATAAACTTACGCTTCATTGACTCGTATAGATTTTTGCCGTCGTCGCTTGATAAGTTGG